CAAGCCTCAATTCCCATCACATACATATTGGTTGTTTGTCTTGGCAAGTAGGTGTACGCGTCTCTGTATGTGTGTTTGTCCCCCTCCGCCGATACCATGGAATCACGCGCGATCAACGCTTGAGTTGTTGCTTACCTCCGCAGTATGATGCTGCAATAGAATTCATACACTACACCTCAAACCATTGCACGGGGACACCAATCGATCGTGCTCGATCGATATACGCACCAATGTTGATCAAATTCACATCCAGTTTGTCTGACGCTTTCAGGTTACATTCCATCTCTGTGATACCACTACAGAACGAGTACCTTCAATTAGTGATCAATCAAAATAATCATTTTGGCAATATATCCCAGACGGAATGAGATATCTAGATCAAACCAGCTGTTTTCAAAAATACACTTTTCTGAGTATGGGCTCTGAATACGACAGTTTATCGCTGAAATCATATAGCGTTAGTTCAACACTTCCACTACACAAAGTAAACCGGGTGAATTAAGATTAAGATATGACAGTCATAAGTAGAGAAAGCAAACTGACTTCGAACGATATCATTGCCNTCTCGATTCAGGTTCACAATGGGAACGCCACCGCGGTCGTCCTAAAAATTGTGATTACCGACAAACCAGAAACTGTGAAGTGTTCGATAACTTAGTAAGTATTAGGAACTCAGAACACCTTTTCTACCTAATGCAATTCAGCGTTAGATAAACAGCAATTATCAAAACACAACCCCAGCTGTAAAACCCACTCAAACTCATATTGAATATCCTAGCTATGCTTTTCCCTATGAGGACGTAGATATCCAAGTTAGGGTGGTTAAGTGTGGTATGACGGGATAAAATATAAATGAGGGTAAAGGACAAACAGAAGTATAGTGTGGTGTTGAATGTCAGCCAAAAATCAGGTAAAGCATGAGAACCAGGAAGAGGGGAAGGATAAACAATGTAGAATGATTTAATCCCATTTTATCTTAAACTCTTGGGCATTCATTGTGTCAATCACATATTTCAACGAGATCTTATGAACTCCTTCATGATTATGTTTAACTCGAGCCTTATGAGCTTAAAGCAGAGCCCCAAAGGAGAGCAACTTAATTGGCTTAAACAGTGGAGTTAGTTTTGATTCGGATTTAACTACAGGAGTACGGTTGACCGGTCTTTGCACACCGAGAAAAAACAGTCTCTAGTAATATACATGATATAGGGATCCATAAATCATTGGATTTTTTATCTCCCGACTGCTTAATCTCTCCTCAGGCATATAGAGGGAAGGTTAGCTGAACAAAAAAATCGAACGGGGAATCGAACAAACACCCTGAAGAACCCCTGTACTGTTTCTTGTTTCATGCAGCGAAAGGCGTTCTGGATCATTAGAATCGCTTCCACATTCCTGGCAGACCCGGAGGTAGAGAAATCTGTACTGCATGGTGGTCATCCAGACATCGCTGGCAGGTTTGGTAGCGTCGACGAGGTCAACGAGACAGTTTGCAATGATGCCCAGACAGCTTGAAATGATATTCAGACAACTTGACTCTCAAAAGGTATAGTCAGCAGGTGGCTGAACTCCGATATCAAGTCCGTCTATTATATAGTTGACCCAGTCACTGTCTTCATTACCACCCGGATACCAGANCCGCCAAATCAAATTGTATTTACCGATTCCAGTGTGAATGCTCGGCCATCTACATAGGGGGGACAGAGAGGCAATTACTTCACCGAACACATCCCCGTGTAGCTTAAGAAAGCGGTGGACCACAAGTTTGTAACTGTTACATCATCGAATGATCAGAAAAGACTTAGGTCTTCGGTAACACAACACTTATTCGAACAAAATCATTGTGTCACCCTAACTTATGCACTTCAGGTGATCTGCAACACAACGAACTCAAAGTTACCGAAATTTGCCGAGGCTCCAACCGTTCATACTCTCAAATCCCATCTATGCAAACAACGTGAATCGCTAGTCACATTAGTTGGGTCTTGGTGATTGACCCCTCCCCTCTCTCGATTTTGGTGTGTTGTTGTGCCCTGTTATCGTTGTGATTAGCAATCTTGTCTTGGTCTCATAGTTATTATCTCATGGACTGTAGAAATCATTTGGACTTCAATATGCACGTGTACAGATGCAATGAAATGGTCACAGATGCATTGTGATAATCTATGTTTATCATTTATCTATTCAGGTAATGTATATATGGCTCTGCCACTCCGACAAGTAGGTGATGGTGCGAGCAGATAGCGATACTAATTTGTCGTGTATATCATTATTTTACCCGTACTTTGCAAGGTCATTATGCAAACAATGGTTGTCATTAGTGAGAAGTCTACCAAATCAATTTTTACACAATCCAGAGCACCTACAGATTGCACAATCAGCCAAGGTATTCCTGGGTATGCTGTAAAATTCGAAAAGAAGTTGAACACAGCTAAATGAAAGTGTAAGCCCCTACTATTTTAACTCCTTAGTAAAATGAGATGGAGTATTATCACCTGTGATAGTCAATTTAGGCTCTCATAAACGCTGTAATGGAGCATGACGGAACAGTACTTTACTCTAAGAAACCTTGAACAGATATGCTAGCGCGGGGGAATCATCCTCATCATCATTGCCGTAAAACGAGATACAGTGAACTGAACCTCACTGATCGCTGCCAAGATCACAATGTACACGAATCAAGTAATAAAGCACAAGATGGAGAAGGATTGGGCCTAATTGGAGGGAGACAAACAAAGTGGACCTCTATGTTCTACACAGAGTACACAATCTAACTGTGCATACATACCTTTCCAAGCATTCTGACTTGATAAGAAATGACCTCAAGAATGCCACTGCTGTCGGTTAGTTGTCATATCCTTCAGTGTCTCTAACACCTAATCTACATTTATTCTATCGAATTGCCCTATGCGTTTCTTCATGCCTCGTTTCACACGTCCCGGGTTAACCCTCGTGTGGAAACAGGGTAGTGCGAGCGACAGAATGGATCCAAAATATCTAACAGTATCCATTTGGTTAGCGACACAATGTGAGGTGAATCTCTGAACAAAACGCTGCAGTCAAAAAGCGATGGCCAAATAACTGCACAATGAAACTGGGATTAGTTGAACGTGTCGTTGAATCACTCAAAGATTTGAGGACATTTCGTCCTTCAGTTAGGTTTATCTAATCCAATATATTCCACTTAATCTCCACCGTGGAAATATCCTACTTGTAAACTTCATTCCCTGGAAATCAACTTGGTTTTATTATCTCCGCGAAGTGAATATCTCCAACTCTGGAGTGGTAACTATAGGACCAACGGTACTATCAAAAGGAGAAACAAAAACCATGAGCGATGGAGTGGGCCGAGAATTGTGATGAAAAAACTTGTGAACAGCTTGTCCCGGTTTTATTTGCAACGTTATTTATTGAGCAATTGCCAATTACCTGTTGTAGCGAAAACCAATCACACTAACCTTAATCTACATGAAAATACATATGTACTGAAAAGACAGCACAGCAAGAAGGTTAGGCTGCACGATTGTATTCCCAGGGCAGCCTTTGCTGCATCTCAACTGGTATAACAATACGGCAGAAAATTGCATTGTTCAATATTACATCAGGTTACGCCAGAATACGACCGGGACGAATCATCACACTTTCACCACCGCCAAAACAGTGACAGTGTGACTGACAGTTCTTTTGCACATACACACACAGACCAGGTTTGCATTTCTTGATTGCAACCGACTCCGCAACCGGGGGTTGGTATCAGCATAAATGATCTTAAATCGGTCTGTCAGGTCCGGACCATGATGCGTCCTCAACAAATGTCGAGCGATGGATGACGCAGGCTGTTTGTGTGTTCGGTGTCTATGGATGAGGGTGGGAGTTGGGACTGGTGTAATGTTATTGAGTGTGTTAGTGGTGGGTGATGCGTGTGTGTGGCTTTGAGGGGTCGAATTGGAGAACGACCTCTGATCACGTGATACCGGTCAGTCGGCGTCTAACCCCCCATGGGATGCGCTCCTGGATCCGTGTGTGCTGCTTATCTGTTCTGCCATTATAAGATGCTCCGCACCCAAAGTCAAAGTCAAAGTTTTATTATGGGAATAACTTGCAAGTTGGTGCTTCTCTTGTCCCATAGGATATTTACACAGAAGAATCGTTACACATCGAAAAAGGAGCCACATAGAGTTCCCGGGTAGGAGATAACAGAGAATGTAGGCTACAGTTTGCTTTTAGTGGTGTACGAATGTGAGGTGTGCCAAGGTTTCGTCGAGTCTCTGCTTAAAAGATTCAATAGTGGGTGCACAAACGATATGAGATGGAAGAAAGT